GTATATGTCATAGGTAATGTAGGCTGAAAAGGGTTGCACTAGTTTTCCGAATCCGGATGAAAAATTGTATTTGACTGGACCATCACGACTGAAGCAGCTGCCAAAATAGACGAATTATTTTGCTACCTCCGTAAGCTTGAGGTTGGGGTTTGAGTCCACCCAGTCTTGCAGCAGCACTTTACACTTTGCAGGTGTGAAGAGCACACCAAATCGTGAGACGGGACTATCTAAACTAAATAATGCTATCTGCATTACGATGACGTCAGATACAAAGAGTTATGGTGTCTGCGTACTCGGTACCTGTGAGCAATTCGATCCCGATGCATTGGAGGCTGAGAGTAGATCTTTCATGACTATATCAATTAACCTGGAGAGGAAATTTGAAAGCAGACAGCCTTACCTGATATTATTTGATGAAGTGAACTCGGGTATGCGTTTCCCGTAGATCAAGCACCCGTGGGTGTTGGCGTACAGTACATTGGGGGCCAAAACCGTAAAAACCGTTCAGCTGTAGCACCCTTTCGGTGCCTAGCTCCCATGCCACCCGAAGGCTGCACGAGGGCTGAGATACTGCCAGGTTGCCCAAGCCTAGACGGGGGAAATCGAGAGGCAGAGGTTGGATTCGAACCACGGACCTTCCAGTCAGTAAATCTGCGCTCTAACCACTTGGACCATCTCGCCCCATTGGGGGCCAAGGATTTGTAGGGAGCACCTTTGCTCTATAAACACCGCCATAGTGACTGACAGTCCGCAGAGACAAACGCAGCGTTCAAACTAAACAAGACCGACACCGTTGGTTGTTGTCTTCTAAACTCTTAAACAAGTATGCAACCAGAATGGATGTAATGAAGACACTGTCGCCAAAGACCAGCATGAACCTCCATACTAGCTAGAGAATGGCCGGGGCCAATTGGTGAAACCCACGTCCCACTCACCTTCAAGATGCAGGATGTGCAGCCAATCCCAAGGAAAATGTAGACCGATACCCATAGGTTGTCCACAACGTGAGGGAGGCAGGGATCAAAACATGGGCAAATAGGGTTGACATCTCCGTTGCAGCACTGTACCGTAGCGTTCAGATAGCAACAGTCAATCTAGTGAGACTGGTCAGAATGTCTGTAAAGTTACCAATGTGGAAGCACAGATTTCAAAGTCATTAGGTACGGGATAATTCGAGATCGGCTTCAGTCCACAGCACTTGTATTGCATCATAAATTCACTACGTGACTGTGGATCTCGACGCTGCCAAGACAAGGTAGCCATCACCTCCATTTTCTCTTTGTTCAGTAGCAACACTGACAGTAAACAGGTCATCTCGATAAACACTAGTATACGAAGAACAGACATTATCTGGTTGAATGAGCGCGTTAGGAGATCTCCGCTTACCAAAAACAGAACAGCCATTGTGAACCTTGATGTGGGAAGAAAGACTACCATACTGGTAATGGCTGTCATGGCATCACATACGATGCGATCGCGTGCCTGGCTGGTTGTGACCTCAAAAACAAACTCATTCCATGTGCATATGAACAGGACTGAGGGTATCGCAAACACCTGCGTAATTTGAATTTCATCAATACGAAACCCAAAATGTACCATTTGAAGGCCCGCAAGGAACAACAGGACAAAATCAACTGGCGGCTTGTAATAGGGCATATTGTATATTGGGCAAGCATCAAAGAATGTCAAATGTGGACTAAGTAAATCGGAAAACCTTTCTGTAAGGTGCCGGGATGCTGGATAGAAGAAAGCGAAAAACGGGTGACATAACTGGAAAACAAGGGGATAGCAAAATTACTAAGAGGTACAACAAGCCTCAAAGTAAAACCCTGTCCACTTCTGCCGGGAGGCTGTTTACGTCAAGATTACTAAACAAAGGTTCACTACGAAAACTAGGGCACCGACTTATAGAAAAAAACTCAACATGACCTCGGTAAAGTTGTTTAACGCAAGAACAAGAACCAAGATTCACGACTCTCGCCATGCCAGCTGGCAGTCGCAAAAGGCGCCGGTTGTAATGAGCAGGTATTTTACAGTAAGTTACATGGGCAGAAATAATAGGTACCTTGACATTAGACCGAGAGAGCGGGTGTATTTTTGGGTCCGGAAAAATCCTTTTCGAAAAACCGGGCGCGAAACACCACGGTATACCGTAAACCAAGCGCCTGTCTTCCGCAAGCCAAATCGACCTCGTACAGTATTCACTACCTTTTCACCGACGAAACTCGTGAGTTCCTCGTATTGCCAGGGTTACTGCAATACGCCTCGTTCAAAATGAACCTTAATATGCCCCAGACTTCGTACCACAACGGATTGTATTGTTCATATTGTCGACTAACCTATCAGGTCGGTGATCATGTGATTAAGACTTTGCTTTGAAAGCAGCTGCAAAACTCGTTTATTCCAACTATTGATGCCAATGAGACAATGAGAAATACTTGAACCTACCAATCACCGTGTTCTCAGTGTGTGATTCTAAATTAAACTTCCGACGAACAAGTCCCTTATATGAAGCACACTGTCACTGCATGATCTATTGGGCAAACAAGCAAAACTACAGAAGGACAAACTTCTTCACGTCAGTTCAAAAATGCCAAAAATTTGGATTACATCAACTCGGGCAATACACACTAAGCTTCCACAACCAAGTGTCAGAATGGCGTTTAAGTCTCCTCTAAAAATTTGCCATTTAATTTCTAGTGCACGAAAGAAACCGCAGTCTTTCGCCGAATCATAAATCAACTCGGTTTTAACGGGAAACTCGAACATCATCCGAGCCTACTGTCCATACTAAACTCCAACTCAATGCGCTCATGAAGATCGTCTCACGCTTCACTCTAAACAACATTCAAGACATCAAAAATCATTCAGCCGTAGCACCTTTTCGGTGCCTAACTGCCATGCCACCCAAGCGAAGCACGATGGCTGGGATACTACCAGGTTGCCCAAGCCTAGGCAGAGTAAATCGAGAGGCAGAGCCCGGGCTCGAACCACAGACCGTGCAGTCCATAAATTTTCACTCTAGCTACTGAGCCATTTGAGACATCAAAGTATTTTGCTTCACAACACTACACTAGTTTGACGAAAACTCTCCGAGAACCCACTATCGGGTTCACCCTTCTTGAGGCTAAACAGCTAGACCTAGTGTCCGAGTTGACACCAGACTTCTTCCCTATGTAAACATCAGATAATACATAAGTGCGTACACTGGTTGGCAAATCAAATTGGTGTTAATGGCGTTTTTGACTGAGAATCCCAATAAACTAAGCAGCTGACAACTGACTCTTCGGCTAACACCAAGTTAAAGTGCAAATCAGTGAATGATCACACCAAGGTACAGACTGTCCTCAAGGAAGAAATAAGACTGACGGAAACTCGAGAATTAGACCTACCTTGTAAGGCAGAAGGAGGAAACCAAGGGTGGGCTGTCAAACAGTATTCATCAACCTTGTATCGTGATGAGTGAGAAATAAACGACCAGTCTCCATCATTGTTTCGAAAGACAACGTCCGTGTCACTTCACTTAATGAACCAGGTAATCCATCTTTTAAGTGTTGAGAAAGAGTGGTTTGAGTGACTAACTGACTTTTAGGCCTACACACTGGGCATACATTATTCACCCACTCTACACACGGGAGGTAGGCTTGTGCTTCCCGAAGTCATGGTAAGCGTTCATATCGATCTACACTGAGTAGTAATGACCCGCTTAATCGCCACTAGTGTCTCAGGAAAAAATATTCCGCTGCTACTGCGGCTCTCCGGAACGTCCAGCAGGCACAATGGGTACACTCGAAGTGTACGTTTTCCGAGAACATCAAGGTGGGTGGCTGAGTCGGTCACTAATTCCCCCAGCTGTTTCGATTCCATCTACTCCCTGGGACTGCGCGATAGTGTCATTGAGATACAAGTCATGAAATGACAGAGGGTGATATGTTCCCCAACGGAATTTCATCGGCAGCATCGAAACTGGTAGTTGTAACAATTTTATATGCTGTGCTGTGCACCGCCATAAATTAAGGTAGCACTATCGTGGCTGAGATTGCAGATACACCCTGTTCTAATTCCACAGGTTGTTGATCCCAGATAACAGCGCCCAGACAAAACACACCAAAGCCTACAACGTCCAGTTTGTTTTGACTACTTAAGATTCCATGAAGAGATGGATACTTCGTTCGGGTGAACGAAGACATCCGACGCAGCCAGCCTTAATTGGCTTGTAGGGAGTCGGGACGCTGGCAGCAGGAAAGCAAAACGTTGGTGGTTGGACAGGACCAGAGGTTGTGTCTTGATTGGTCAGAACATGAGGTGGCGTGAATCAACGTGGAAAATTCCGTGGGTGCTCTGTAAATAAGGTCACTTATTCTTTCTTGGCTTCAACACAGATTCTCTTCTGAGAAGGCATGAGGATCGAAACCACAAAACCAGGGACAAGGACTGTCTACCCGCTGTAAACCATTGCCTAAATGGTTGGGAAACCGGTCGGACGCAATATACACCTGTACGGAAATCACTCGTTTGTTCAGAGAAAACAATAATGAGGTGACCAGGTCACTGTACCAAGCTCGAACGGATAAGTGGGTTCGACCACACCTATCTCGACACCTCTCTATCGCCGGAATCCTCGCGTCATAAAAGAGCGATTGGTAGATTTCGGTGGGGTATAGCTGACACATACTCAACAGCAGACCTCTGCAAACGGCGTAAATTGGGCATGCGGTCGGTGATAAACACTGGAGAAAACAACGTAAACATTTCATAAGGAACATATCCACCCATCCCAAGGAGACTGGACCTCACCGAGATGTGACGGTTTGTGCACCTCAGCGACCCGTTGAGCCACAATGGGGGTGTGCCCGCGGCACTGACGGAGTTTCCAAAATCAGGCTGGTTATTTATTAGAGGTCTGACGAACACAGTCCCCTGGACCTCTAAGTTGGGGGTCGGAACATTTAGCGACCCGTTCCCCTCTTCCCACCCCATTTACAACTCTTTCCTTGTAGGCCCAGCATTTGGGACTGATGACTCCGTTGATCCTGCACCAGTTTTGTGTTCAACATCTTCTCATCACATGGCGCCGACATCCTCAGGTATCTCCCAATCAATCTTCAAGCCTCGACACCCAGTCTATCTGGCTGTTTTCAATGGCCGCACACTGCGGCAAACAGGACAACAAGCTACTCTTGCACTCACACTGAACTCGCTTGGTATTGATGTGTGCTGTGTCTCATGGCTAACCGCCTCAGGAGTCTCCACTCACTTCGAGCTGCGCACCTCTGGTGATGCAGAGGCTGCTGCGGTGGGATGTACAGGCGTTGGTATCGTCCTGAGCCACCGGGCAGAAGTATCCTTGCTTTACTGCATGCCTGTCGATGGTCGACTCTGCACGGTCCGTCTCGCAACGTCTGCGAAGGGGCCGCAAAAGCAGGAAGTTGATCAATGTCTGTTGATCGTATCCACTTGCGCTTCGACTGACTGTAGCTGCGATGCCGTCAAAGACAGGTCTTGTGATGCACTGAATGCCCTAATGTGGTGGGCAAAATATCAGGGATCGTGGTGATGGCCGGAGATTTGAATGTACGTGTAGGTGGGCTTAGCGCATCTGAGACTCTATAATGAGGTCGATATTGATTGGGCTTGGTACGTACGGACAATGAGGAACGACTGCTTCGGTTATGTGCACAAAGCAGACTTACTTCATACATGGCTCTGCAGTCTGGCTACAGGGTGTCCCCAAAAGGCATACCGGTCGCAGACGCAAATCGATCACATTGCCATCGACAGACGACATCGTTCTCATCTTCAAAACAGAGAAATTTTTGCATGTATTTTTGAATGAGCTGATCAAAGTCATTCCGTCCTTTGGTATGTACTTAGCACCCGCGAATTGCAAGCTCATGCACCTGGGCATTCAGTCACTGAACACGCCACTTACAATCCAGGAGGAGGCACTCGAGCAGGTGGAGCGCCTTAAGTATCTTGGAAGTTATGCTAGTTCCGACTGTGGTGTGCCTGGTGAAGTCAGTGCATGAACGTTTGGGGCGCGTCTTCCAATTTGAGACAACTATGGCGTCAGAGTAGTTTATCCCAGAATCTCAAGGGACATTAGTATCAAGCTACAGTACGGTCCGTTTTTTGTATGGTCGTGAGACGTGGCCTATTCGAGCACCAGAGCTGAGACGTCTTGAGGTGTTCGACGATCGTTGTATCAGAACCCTCGCTAGTGCAGGTTGGTGTCGGCGTATCCGTAACGAGGCGTTTAGAAGGCGATTATTCCGTTGTGCAGCGGGTACTTTTATTGAAGAATGCACCCAGCACCGGAAGCTGCGTTGGTTGGGACATGTTACGCATGCCATCGTTTGCTGAAGAGAGTACTGTTTTCCATGACCGATTTGGAGTGGCTGAGTTAGAGAGGGGTATGAAGAAAACCACGTACCGTTTCGGTGCCAAGCACTGTCAGTGGCAATCTCGTCAATTTTTATCTAAATTACCCGGGTAAGCGCTTTAAACTGTAGATGACTCGGTATTATTGTAGTATGGCAGCAGGAAGTCCCAGGTTCGTTCACCTTTATCCCTCTATTTCGAACTGGGCTTTTAAGTAAACTACGGTTGCACGACACTGATGCATCATTGTTGAAAACTGATTTCATGCTCCCGATGATGATACAACAAATCCACAAGAAATTTCCCCTTTGTAAGGGGTCCCCTAACAAGAAATGGGTCTTGGTTACCGCAGATTGTTTTAAGGAATTCCGCCGCATCAGCTTTATCTTTTCGCTGGACTATATTTTAGGGTGCCTGATAAAAATGCATTCCGTAGTGTTGTCACACAAATGGATCAGATTTCTGTTGGTCCAACTGAGCAGTCTTCTCACCGGGATTGATTCGCTGTTCAATTTCTTTAATCAGTGGAACACTGAGCGACCAGGCCAACTAAGCGAACATATATCGGCTGTTGATCAGGTAAACGTTGATCCGTTCACCGAGCTTGGTAGCTGGCTCGCAAACGTTCCCTGCTCCGCCAAGCCAGTTACCAAGCTAGGCGAACAGACCAACTTCCATGTGATCATCCGCCGGTAAACAGGCTCGCGCTGCCAGTATTTCAAACACTTATTGTTAGCGCTTGTGCATGTCAGCTTCCTGAATGAAGCCGCAGCTCGGTATTTCAAGGTCCAATTTTTGTTACAAAGAACGACTGTGGAATCCAAAGTTTGGATGCGATCGAACTTCTTAGCCTACGAATCGTTGTCCAATCGCTGAGCACATCTGAGTTCAAACGTACCCATATGTAGACAGAAAACGGATATAATCAGAAATTTCAAGACACGCAGGAGACCAGTGCGGTTGAAAATGCGGACAGGCTTTCCAAGCTACTACGTAAAAACCTTGGTTAAGGCACTTGGGTAAAGATACTTTTGGAAGCCAAGTTATAATGAAAACGGCATCTGGATTGCTGGGTTGAATACTTGCAATAACAGTATCATCATCAGTAGCAGCAGCATCATGGCTCACCAATTTTTCCATAGATGAGAGCCAGGCTACCTGCTGAAAGAACGGCATTGAAGGCATAAACGTCACGTTAACCCATGATCCCTACTGACCTGAACCCCTTCAGTGATGTTGTCTGTGGCATGATGGTATTAAAATTTGCTATCTTCCGGCTGCCACTTGACCATTTTGAACATTTTCCCAGCGTTTCGCACGACCAACTTAGTTTGGAAAGTAGTAAATCTTCTGGCGTAGTTTGTTCTGCTTCCCGGTTTAGGAGGAATCTTACAGCAGGAAACATTCTCCAGCGATGTGTTGGATATAAATTCTGAAAGCCATTGCTGCGTCTCACACGAGATCAAGATTTTTGAAGCCAGTATGAGAGCCAGTGTGCACCAAAAGAATCAGTTCCCCCTATCTAACTCTAACTTTACTCAGACACTTAAACGGACGCAATTTTGTCATAATATCGTGTATCAAAGGGAAATACGTTTTTGACTACCCGATCTTCTGCATCCGTGGGAACTTGGCTCCACAAACGAGTGCACCAATCTATCTTCGGCATAAGATGAAAAGTGTGCCCTGGAAGGCCCGATGGATTTTTCTGCGGACCTGTTGTACCATCAAACAGCAAATGATTTTGACGCTGCCGAGCCATCGGTAATGAACTGATACGTCTTCCGAGCAAGAGCAAGTGCACTCACAGGACATTTAGACGGGACCCAGAGAGTGAACACGGAGTGCAACGGAAGGTTCTGTGTGGAGAAGTTGGGAGGCCAGAAAAATTAAGGTCTTGCGGACCGGACGTCATTTCTCATACATTCCCCAGGTTATAAGGCCTCAACTGCTTTCTATTCCGCCGGATGACAAATTTCAAGCCTTCTCATGGTGAACTTCAGGCTTCATTTTAAAACTTGCTAATGATTTAGACAAGGCAGGGCGTGAAAATTAATTCAGCAACACCGTGCAGCATCAAGTGGCTGCGGTGGAAATAAAAATCGGCTAAAAACGTCGGATAAGTCCCGGCGTATGCACATCCTGAGGCAATGTCCTCCTGGATTCCGCCGCTCATTCTGCTGGGTTCCAACAAACAACTAAAACACTCAGAAAATGGGACCTGTGCATAGGAACTCGAAGAAGTGCGTCGAGATAAACTGAGAGCCTTCGGTGACTGACGGCTTATATTAGTTCTGGCGATTCGCTTTAAAAATGAGTTACAGCTTTAACTGCTGTCGGCAAAGCAACTCCGCTTTTATGTGAAATACGCTCATTCGCAAACAAATTTGACTTTCCAAGAGACTCATCTAAAACCAAACTGACTCCCTCACTCGCGATGTGTCCAGGCAACGGGATCTACTGCACTAGGCCGCCCCATGTTTCAATTCCCAAGATATTTAAGATATGGCGAGATACGCATATTCGTAACGCACTACTCATAAATTTGCTGAAAATTCTTGGACAGCCCACGACCGATTTTGCCCTTCTTGGAGCTTGCTAGTGCACTGCGTTACAAAATTGCCGCACCAGGAATAAACCGGCGATGAAAATTAATCATACTCAGAAAATGTTAGACCTGCTTAACGGACGTAGGGAGCGGAAAATTGCCGATAGCATCTAGTTTATCGATGGGTGGTGAAGTTCCTGTCTTGTCAATGGTATGTCCGGGAAATGTTACTGAAAAAGATGTAGAAACGTATTTCCGAACATTAATTACAACGCCATGTTCAGATAGATGAGTAAATAAGGTATGCAAGTGGTATTACTGCTGTTCAGATGTGTGGCTAGAAACCAAAATGCTTCCAAGATAAGCAAAAAACAAAGGGAAGGCCGTTTAGTACTTGGTCAATAAAACGTTGAAATAATTGTGTAGCATTACGGTGGCCAACAGGCAGGCGCAAAAACTCAAATAACACAAAAGGAGTAGTGCTAGCAATTTTATGTCATCTTTGGGGTGTATGGGGATATGCTGTCAATAGGGGGGAAAAAGTGCGTCCGTGCAACGTGCAATGAAGGTGTGGGATGGGTTAACGGTGAGGAATGGTGGCATTGTTGAGTGCTAGTCGTCCCGCAAGGACGCCAGTCTGAAGAGGTTTCCTCGGGCACCATATGGAAGGGTGAATTCCACATACTATGAGGAAGTCAAATGATACCCAATCGAAGCATGTGTTGGAATTCGTCACTGGCTAAATGTAATTTCTCTGGGGCTAAACGGCGTGGGCGCGTAAAACTCGGAGGGCCACGCGTATGAATGTGATGTGCGACAGAATGCTTAGGTTGAGTTTGATGGAAATTCGGGCACCATAGGGTGAATTCCACATACTATGAGGAAGTCAAATGATACCCAATCGAAGCATGTGTTGGAATTCGTCACTGGCTAAATGTAATTTCTCTGGGGCTAAACGGCGTGGGCGCGTAAAACTCGGAGGGCCACGCGTATGAATGTGATGTGCGACAGAATGCTTAGGTTGAGTTTGATGGAAATTTGATTTAGTAAATTCTGGGAATTGATGTAGCGGGGTGTGATGAGGTGAAACGCCGCTTTTAAAACAGGTGATTGTATCGATGGAGGGCAGAATGATAAACCGTCCTTCCCTAGACAGTTGAGTATTTGTGTCACTAAGACTTTTTATTTCAGGTTCACCAAAAGTTTGAAATGAGTGGGGAAATCTGCCTCTATATTGGGATATTGGACGTCAGCAATTACGAAGATCCACGGGAAATCGCGGCTTAACCCAAGGTTGAGTCGTAGACTGCGCTGTCCGTAAGTGTTAATCGGTGAACCATTCATGGCGGTTGGTGTAAAAGAAGAAGCGATGGGTTTGATGGAAGCAACAGTTACGGGCATAATGCTGATGTCAGCCACAGCGTCTACCAGAAAATAGAGACCGAAGGGTTTTTCGACAATTGTAAGGCGACGAGATACATGGGTTTGTCTTACAACTTCATTGGCTTCTAAAGTGATATTGGACGCAATTACGAAGATCCACGGGAAATCGCGGCTTAACCCAAGGTTGAGTCGTAGACTGCGCTGTCCGTAAGTGTTAATCGGTGAACCATTCATGGCGGTTGGTG